TACCAACAATTGAATTATGATGATATAATTGAATTATTAATATGTTACGATAAAAATGAAAAAGAAATATGTAAATGTATTACAGGAATTAATAATAAATTTAACCATATTGTTAAAATAGAATAATTTGTGAAACATGCAGTAGCGTAAATTGAAACGTTTCTTTGTTTTTTAATTTTTTAAAATAAGGTATTTAATTAATAACTTTTGTAACTGTAGTGAAAAAATAGGGTGGTTTGCATTAATATTAGACATAACTGGTTGATGATTGTACCACTTGAGTCAACCGTGCCCATGGGATCTGTAAAGGGCCCTTCGTTGGTTTGTTTGAAAAAAACAAATATAAGCGATTTAAATCCGGAAAAATAGTTTAATTTCCTATATATTACAGGAGTTTAATTTTAGTCACATCAAGACATCAAGTTTTAAAAATGGATTTGTTAGCTCATCATTAGTTGTTCAATGTTTCTATGTTTTGTTTAACTTTATTATAAACTTTTCATTACTTACGTAGTCATAGTATTATAGTGTAGTTAGTAGTAGTAGAATACTGTAGTAAAAAAACATTTTTAAATAAGCATTGCTCGTCTTTGTATTCTTGTACACCTTATAGTTATATAACTGAACATGTATAAGGTATAACATCTTATAGATGTTCACTTATAAATACAGGGAACTTACTGGGTTTACTAATAAGTGAAATGTTTTATTATAATTGTAAAAGACTTTCCTCAATAAAAAGAAAAAAAGCATTTGGTAAAAATCGTATTCAACCAAATGACATAGATAGATACATTTTCAATCATTTTAATTCAAAATATACTATCAATCTAGGGACTGACTGTACCAAATTTGTTCTGTAAGTCGTTGAGGAACGAATTATGCGTTTACCTACCAGGGCAGCGGTATGGGTCTATGGGAGCGATCTGGGCTATGTCATGCTGCGATGTGACAGTCACACCCCTCGGGCCACCGCGACGCGCTGCCATAGTTCCGCCTGCATCTGACGCGGCACCTGTCATCGCCTGCGGGGCTACGCACCACGCAAACTATTAATTAAACTAATTTTCACGTCTCCTATTTCTTGGGATCGGCGTAGTATATACTCTTCTAACACTCGTTCCTTTTCGTCGATGGTAACTGAGCATACAGCAAAATTATTGAACTCCACTGGTGGTGCCCTCTAGTGGCGTCGTTGCCATATTTTCAATTTCGAATATTATATTATATTATTATAAAGATTACTTAGAAGAGATCCCTTTATGCGATAAATTTGCCTTTGTAGACCAACATTGATGTTAACATTTACTTTTGTGGTACACAAAAGTTTATATACTACTGTTGTTCGCTTTTAAGTAAATTTACCCAAAGTAACGTTTAGATTTTTGAATCCGGTTGGTCACTCTCATTCACCATTTACAATCGTCTTACAGACAAATCGTAGCTGTAACTAACTACGCATATATCAAGCGATATTATTTATATTATATACACGCTTTGTAGAACATATTATAAACCTTTATAATAACTATACAAATATTTAAATAAGGAGAACCTTCAGGAGTTAGTTTTTTTTTCAGATTTCAAACTGACTCTGTGTTACTTACTATAAGATAATAGGAAGTGCAACGTTCAGTATAGTGACTGTTCGAAATTCATATCCCTATCTACCGACCCGAAAGATAAGGTATTCCAGAGAGACTACGGGCTCGCCGGCAAGACCAGGGTACAACGCGTGTCTCTGGCGAACCCGGAGTTGGGTATGGACTCGCTGGGGTTGTGGTTAGTTGTAGGGATGAATACGGTCATCTGCCACGATCCCGTGCGCAGCTAGTGCGTCTTAGTAGCGTTTAGACGAGGGCCTGAGGAGAGGAGACGTGTGGGGTACGTGAATTGCCCTTTAATTCGGAAGCTATGTCCGGACATGGTCGCAGGGCAATGCGACCGACATCTCCGGCACTAGCCCGGAGAGCTAGTAGATGATGAGCTAGATATCCTCCGGTCTCTTCAGCCGCTTAGGTTATTGAGAACTGGAGCTACAGCTCCGGTACCAATCTAGAAACTAGGAGGGTTTTCTACGTGTTTGGTGGGGACCAAAGAAATTTGGTGGCGGAAGATTTTGGAGGAAGTGTGCGTGCCTACAGCTCCGGTACCTATCTGGAAACTAGGAGTGTAATGTACGTGCACCTAGGGCGGCTCACCTAAGGCACTAGCCTTGTGATAACCGGATGAAGTAATAATAATATAATAACGCACACACTCAACATAGCCCCGTTATATATGGCCACGTATAGCGCACTAGGGTAACCTTGTGTCGCGGGTGCCATGGACACACACATAGACAACCACAAATTATACACAAACTCACGAGAGAAATAAATGTAGGCCATACAAATATTTCTCCCGACCCGGGAATCGAACCTGAGACCTCTGCGTGGCAATCGGCATAGTAGAAGAAGAAAGAAATATTTATTCCATAAAGAAACAACACAGCACATATACATTTAACAATTACGAAACATAATTATAACATGTAAGAAATAAATGGAAACAAAAAAGGGAAAAAATATAACGATTTGATAATACACACAAATAACACACTAACAGGAAGCAAATAACTGTAACAACAAATAATGAAACGATACGCCATAACGTGTGCATGCTGTGCTGTTACGGTACTGTATACAATTTGTAATTATACAATATGTGTACCTTGCGGATCTCCAACTCTCAATATTATTTCATCAGCCTCAGAAACTAACATCTGATCTTCTGGTGTAAGTTCGTGGCCTCTGAAAAGAGAATTAGATGTATTAGAGTATCTACCAGTAAGACCACCATCTAATACACTGCGAGGCTCTGTTGCCCAGCTCCTTATTTTATTCATAGGTTTAATCCTTCAACTGGAGATAAGACAAGACAAACAATGTACACAACAAGATTACCTGAAGCCAACGTGAAAAGAGAATTAGATATATTAGAGTATCTACCAGTAAGACCACCATCTAATACACTGCGAGGCTCTGTTGCCCAGCTCCTTATTTTATTCATAGGTTTAATCCTTCAACTGGGGATAAGACAAGACAAACAATGTACACAACAAGATTACCTGAAGCCAACGTGAACAGATCGAGATGTACTAGTGGACATACTCCTGGCTATACTTGCCCTCGCTCGGACAGATGATGCTGGAAAAATATAGGGAATGACAAAAAAAATTAAACATCAGTAAAAAAAGAAAGTAAATATATTACTTATATACCTCGACCCCGAATAGGTTGTCCATCAGCCGACACGGATGGATCCACGTAATCAGACGTGGCTCCATCTTCCATGCCTACACATATCGGACAGAACGCGTAGTTGAGGAACGTGTTGCACAATAGTTCTATGTCTTCCTCGGCTGAGATTTCTAGTGCCTGAGTATAAGAAACATTGTCGGATGTTATTTCTTCCGACCATTGCTTATTAGGTACATTAAAGGTGTGATTTCTATTAGCCAAGTACTTCATGTCGTTTGTATTTTACTATATTACTACGTATGCATTGCGGTGTTCAAAATATGTAATATTCATAAATTTTATATAAATATAAGAATAGTAGAATTCCAAATGCAATGTGATTGGTTTTTTTTTAATAAAATTTTCACATATTTATATTAGAGTGCTGAAATAATGTTTGTATTTATAAAATTGCTTGTATTTTGGCAGTTAAAAGAAATGCGATTATCCACAACTTTCTAGTACTTATATCTTTTTCAAATCAAAATAATAACAATTCGATTTATATAAGAAATTTATTTTTTACCATGAAAATAGCATCCAAAGTGCAGAGATTCCTCGAAGTGAGCGGGTACTTTGCAATGAGCGTCAGCAAGCGATCTTCAACTAAGAAACCAGTGTTATCCGCCACTAATTGCATTATATGACGAACCTGTAAAAAGGCATTTAAAGTTATTATATAATTGCTTCGAATTGAGTTTAAAATCTATGTTCATTCATAAACAAATATTCTAGCAGTAGTAGCAGTAGAGCTTCTTCTAAAAGACTTCGTTCGGGGAGGTCTGCCTCTTTACCTATTTCTGCCGTCAAGTGGTAATGTGACCGTTACTACGTTCCAGTTTTGAAGGATAAAGGTGTTGATGAAATTAGAGGCCCAAGTGCCTCTTGTAAACTTATGTCTGAGAGTGACGGGCGCAATGGCAGTGCCACTTAGATCTTTGCGATTTATAGCTCTGAGTGGCACTGCAACTGCTATGCACAGGAGGACTGCTTAGTACCAGACGCGCAACTTGTTCGTCCCTTCACTCGGTATCATAAAAAAATATACTTTCGCAAGTGGCGTACCTAGAACAGAATTTATATATAAAGTGTAGCATCAAGCTCGACACTTTACCTATATATAAATTCTGTTCCGTTATGTTCTGCTCTTGACCCATGTACAGATTCAAGAGCACTTCAAGTTTAACCAGACAATCACATCAATTATCAACAAACTACGGTAAAATACAGCCGATTGTATTGTTATTTTGTCTTTCCAGTTGAGAGTTGCTGTTTTAACCACTATATTTACAAATTATCTCCCAACCTTTTGAATCGACAGAATATCAATGCCACCGTGCAATGGGCTATCTTTCTTCTTACACGGTTAGTGGGATGATCTTGAACTAAGAAGACTGAATTTGGGTAAAGCTATCATCATATCAGCCGGAAGACATCCACTACTGAACGTAGGCCTCCCCCAAAGATTTCCAGACTAGACGATCGGACGCGACGTGCATCCATCGGTTACCCGCCGCCCTTAACAAGTCATCCGTCCATCTAGTATGAAGCCGTTCCACTGAACTACCGGTCTGAACCGGAAGTCTACCGGTTCGTAGTCTCCATTCGAGAACCTTTCTGCACCAACGGCCGTCAGTTCTATGAGCTATGTGCCCTGCCCACTCACAACTTGCTAATCTTTTGAGCTATGTCGGCGCCATTGGTTCTTCTACGGATCTTCTCATTTCTTAATCGATCACGTAGAGAAATGCCGGGCATTGATAGGTCCATATCTCGTTGAGTAACTTCGAGCTTTGTTATGAGGCCCACAGTATGTGACCACGTCTCAGAGTCCTAGGTCATCGCTGGCAACATGCACCGCCCGAAGACTTTTGTCTCCAAGGACTGCAGTATTGCGGACGAGAAGACGTCCCGGAGCTTCCCGAAAACTGCCTAACCGAGTCGGATTCGACGATTGACCTCTTTCTTGAAGTTGGTTTTGCCTAATTGGACGGTTTATCCGAACTAGGCATAGTCGTCAACAACTTCGAAGGTGGAAGTTCCCACTGTTATAGGGATGGGAACGACATGGACATTCGACATAAGTTTCGTCTTGTTCATGTTCATTTTTAGACCCACGTGCTGGGAAACTCTATTGAGGTCGTCGTAGTTTAAGGTAAAGCTAGTACTGACAGAATACTGAATATAGTTTTTCAGGTTCTCTCTCTCTGGTTTTGGTTTAAGATTACAAATAAGAAAATATAGCATCTTGATTTTTTCCTACCCGAAATCAAACTAGCCGTTGGGTCACATAGATCGACAATGTTATGAGGCCCTCATAAAAGAGGTTAACCACTTTCTTCAATTGTAACTTGTGTTTTTTATTACAAAATAAAGTGAGCATTTGGAGGTCAAATCAAATCTCACCTGATGGAAAGTGATGCTGAGGTCGATAATGGAGCATACATACCTAAATAATCCCTATTTATTCACTCTCACCTTGAAAAGGCCCAATGTTACAACGTTCAGGGAACAGGTAAGCAGGCAAGATATACCACTCCATAGCCGTTCGCCATACAAATATGAAAGCGGAACGCTTTGTGCGAACGCTTGGAATATTCTCAACATAGGGATCGAATCCAGCCTACATTTATATAGCATAAATAATGGGGAAACTAAATTCTGGAAACTTTGAACACCCTGTGATTACCTATGTTAATAGCAGGGATTTTATAGTATACTTAGTCATTCTATACAATGCTGGGCTTCGTTATTACATTAGTAGATTTGGCAAAGTATTAAATGAAATGAAACTATTTTTCCGGATTTAAATCACAAACAAACCTTGTTTGAAACAATATACGCAAAAACAAATATACGCGATTTAAATCCAGAAAAATAGTTTCATTTCCTAGGTGTAACAATCACGAAAACCTAAGAACTCGATATTAAATGAAAGATAAAGAAATCAAATTAGTCATTTATGTTTGCGTTTCCGAACTGGTTCGATCGACCTCTAGCTAGTTAGTTTATGAAAAAGCAGCCAGAACCGAATGAATATGGTTGCGTTTCCGACTTGAGTTGAAAATTATTATGGATACCGTTTTTTGAGCAAAAGCTAAATAATCGATGTCGTACTTTAAACAAGCAAAGAATAACAAATGTTCCTAACTATTTAATGGTAATCTGGTTCCAATTTCTTCTAAGTGTTCGATCTTTGTATTAATGTTATAACAAACTAGTGGAGTAATTTCACAAAAAAATGATTGAATATCAATTCAATACATATTGCCTTCAATGTGCTGGTATCCAGCGGTAAATGGCTGCAAGACGACGAACGATCGTCGCCTACGAGTAGTGTGGAAGTTTCGAAACGTTTACTATTTATTACTATATTATTACTACACTATTTATTACGTATCTGAATAATATATGTAAATATCTATTAATAAAGTAATTTAATTAGTTTACACTTACGCCGCTTTTTTTATTTCTTTATTCATATTATTTATTGACATTATTTTAGCACATACCAACTTTCGTTATATTATGTATTATATTTCCACACACACGTTATGTATGTAGGTATTGTTTGCACTCGAGTCCGTGCTTCACTCAATCGGGCTTGCTGAAAACCAGCGCCACAGGTAGAATGTCCTGCCTGTAGATAAACGCTGAGCAAGTCCCGTTTGCGTGCACTGCGACACTCATTTATTTTTATTATTGTGTTTATTGTGATGTTTCAGATTATCAAAAGTAAATGACATTTGTATGAAAATTACTTTTATTTGTCTATTTGTTATAGTTTTAAGTTTAAAATGTTATAATATTGTAGTTTTTAAGCTCATTCATGACATGTATCTAGACGGACACAATATTTTTTTCTTATTCTTATTCTTAAATATAACTAATTTATTAAGGCAGTATATATTATATTCTATACAGTTAATTTATTGATATACTTAGTAAAATAAAGGCATTCTTGTTGATAGGAATTTTGTGTTGTATTGAGACATTAGGCATTTTACTCTGTGGCAATATATATATAAAACTCTTAAGCTGCAAACAAGCCCTTACCAGTTTATCCTTTGAAACAGATAAATGTTGCTTGGAGATCTCACTATTGACTACACTACGTGGCTGCTCGTACTCTGTTTCATCCACTGCAAAACAAAGTAATGAAATCTTTTGTCGAATTATATAGGATAGGAAGAAAGAAAACATTTTTTTATTTCACACAATGAAATCAAAAATGTAGCGCTAAACAAAAGTACGTTCCCAGCATATTTTATATATTTATATATATTAGAATATAGTATTGTATACTATTGTATAGAATTGCTTTTTTCGTATTATGTCAAGAGATAAATTTATATATTACATAGTTTATATTAGTCATTTCTTTTTATTAGAAATTTTTAGTTTTATGTTAATTATAACATAAAACTAAAAAAATAATTAATTAAAAAGTTGAAAAACATAAAATTACGATAAAACATTGCTGAAATAGTTGTATCTTGACAATGTTTTATCGTCAAACAAAAATAAAAATAAAATTACAATGTTTTCGAACATTTTACAGAAATTTTATTACACATTATCATTATATATTAAAATGCTGTGATCCCTGTGAAATCTTAGTTTCATGGTGTACACCTACTCAGAATCTATGGTATGTATCTTTAAACACATTCCGTATTTGATATACAATAATACCATTTTTAATGAAGGGCGAGTGTGGCGGCGGCGGGGGCGCAGGTGGCGGCATCTCGGCCAGTACGTGCGTGTGCAACGCGATCTCGGTAGAGCGCAGTTCCTGTGATAGTGCTAAGCAACGCGATGTCGACATACGCCATACCTGCGGCACGCCGAAAATCAAGAGTAACTTATTAACACAAAGACATACAAAGATCAAACACAAAGAAAAATTCCTTCGATTGGGCTGGACCAGCCATACCTTGGCGAATCGAAGGAATTTTTCTTTGTGTTCGATCTTTGTATTAATAATTATAACAAGCTAGAATAATTTCACAAAACCAATTGAATATATAGTAAAACATAACACCTATAGTAAAACATCTTACTTATTCAATAAACTTAATATTACAAGAGTAACTTGCTGAAACACTGCTCTTTTCAAGTAGCTAATAAATAAAAAACAACTCACACATAGCCCCGCACTAGGGAAACCCTGTGTCGCGGGTGCCATGGACATATACATAGATAACCACAAATTACACCCAAAAACACGAGAATGTAGTAAAAAAATAAATGTAGGCCATACAAATATTTTTTAAGCATTTATTATTACACTTTAATTTTTTTTTTGTTTTAATCATTATAATTATGTTTTAACTTTTGTTGTAAGTATTTTAGTTTAAAGTTTATAATATTGTATTTTAATTTTAAGATCATGTGTGTCTCGCTGCTTACGCAATAAAGTATTCTTATTCTTATTCTGAATATTTCTCCCGATCTGGAAATCGAACCCGGGACCTCTGCGTGGCAGTATGGTAACCGTTCGGCCACGGAGGCAGTTATTATGGGCCGAATGCTAATGGCCCGAAGTTAGCCGCACATTCTGTGCGCACAGGGACCAATTCAGATGGCGCGGCGGAAAAATTTGAACATTTTAGTAGCAGTAGAGCTCCTTGTGAAAGAGTCGCTAGAACATTCAGAGAACTACTGTCACCTTACCTATTTCTGCCGTCAAGCGATAATGTGAGCATTACTGCTTTCCGGTTGTACAGGCTGTGAAATACAGTCGTATCTTGTCAACTTAAGTCTCAGGCAGACGGGCGCAGTGGCTGTGCCCCTCAAATCTTTGCGATTTAAAGCTCTGAGTGGCACTGCAACTGCTATGGACAGTCATGTCGCTTACCACCAGGCGCACGACATTTTTGACCAGTCACTTGGAATCATAAATAGAGTATTGAGTGAGTCAACCACGGAAAAATGTCTAGTGGTTATTTAAGTAACTTACAACCGACAGTGAGTTGTCGTCAGTGACTGTGTACTGGCAGCCTAACAACAATTTTGTTGATGTTGTCGTTTCTATTACAACCCTATGTTGATCAAGTCAAAATTTTGTTCACACTATGTAAGTAATTACCCGTTTCCGACATAGAAAAGTTCTAGGTGGTCAAGTTACTCACTTGTATAAACTTATAATTATTGACATCCGCGAAGTGTCTCGATTTCTTTTCAAGGTCTTCCATCAATTGCATGAGCTTGTTGATCTCAGCGTCAGCTCTCATCTCTTCGTCAGCTCCATCAGATGACGCTTTCCGTATTTTATTACGCAGACCATTTGCAATGTCCGTCATCTTGTTCAGCTTACGTTTTTGCTGAGATCGCACGAACACGTTTTCTTCTTCACGTTTTTTTAGAACCTATATAATAAAGTATAATTAAATGTATCTGACATTCTTTGTTTATATATCCACGCATTCCTTTCTTTCGCCAAATACATTAATACCCATGACGAAGATGCCGAAAAGAAGCTACCTGTTTCGGTACAGGTATGTTAAATTGCTGAATAAAAATATTATCTTCAAAATCATTTCAAGCGGTATAGGTATCAATTCCATTTAAAAAACAACAATATTTTTTAATCCCGGAAATAGTAATTTGTTATGCAAGGTTGCAAAGTTGTTGTTTGACTCGAGTGCTTGTATTGAAACCTGAACAAGCGAAGGACGCTAAGATTAGATTAGAGATAAGAAGAGAAGAAGACAAATCGCGTAGTTGAATGTGTCATTATCTTTTTTTTTTATCGAAAGAAAAAGTTAGGTGCACGTGCACCACAGTCTATCGTCAAGTTCGAATTTCAAAAACCTTTTCCACGCTAGCGTAAAAAAAACGCTTTTCCGTGCAGATTTCTAATGAGAAATTTTTTATTGCCTTTCCGAACTAATGAGGTGAAAAATAGTTTCATTTCCTATGTGTAACAATCGCGAAAACCTAAGAACTCGATAAGGAGGAGGTTCTCAATTAGACTGTATTTTTTTATGTGTACGTTACGCTATTACTCCGTTTATGAACAGATATCGATGATTCTTTAATTTTTTTGTTGAAAAGGGTACCTCAGTAGTTGTTCCAATTTTAAGAAAACATTCTACGTCTAATTAAGGATGTCAAATTAGGGAATGAATCCCCTTCACCCATCTTCCGTTAACCGATTTCAATAAAACTCGGCAAAAAATTTAATTCCACAAATTTTGAGGTCGGTTTTTTATAAAATTTTAATTATTCCATGTAGTGTGTGTGTCTGTGTGTTGTCTGACGCATTATATATATATATTAATAACATAAAATAATAACGCGTGACGGTCGCGTATAATCCCGATTATCCTTACGACTTCAGTGGCCCAACGGTTTGGACTGTGAGCACTGGATAAGGAGGTCCCGAGTTCGATTCCCGGTAGGACCTTGGAAATGAACTTTTGAAGTTGGTTCTGGTCTGGGTGTTCTGGAAAGTGCGCCAAAATACATTCCGTTGCCAGAGCAAACTACACTAACAAACTAGGGACTTCCCCGTACGATATGAGTAGGTAACAGATACCTACTCATATCGTACAGGGAATACCCTAGTTTGAGACCAGGCAATTGGTGTGGTTGTCTAGCACATTATTTTGTTATTCTTACCTGGTAATTATATCCAATCTTCTCAGTGTTGATCAGGCAAGTGGCTTTTAGCTTCTCTAATTCTTTCTGTAGCTCTTGAGTTAACGTTTCAAGCTCCACTTTTGACGTGCGATATTTTTCATAGTGGTCCCACATTATAAGCTCTATTTCTTCTTTGTGCTCCTCTAACTAGAAAAATTCAGTTAGTGAGAAAGAGTGGATTATTTTAACGAAGCCGTGATAGCCGTGAGGCGTTTTGACGTACTGCCTCTTAAGTAGAGACCGTGGGTTCGAATCTGGGCTCATACCTCTGATTTTCTCGAATTTATGTGCGAAATTTAATTTGCAATTTACCACGCGCTTTTCGGGGAAGGGAAACATCGTGATGAAACCTGCACGACGAAGAAGGTTCACAACCCTCGGAAAACGTGTCAAGTCCCCATTGGGCAATCGTGGCGGACTACGGCCTAAACCCTGGCCTGAGAGAATAATACATAATTTCGTTAAGAAAGAAGATATCGATAATATTAACCTTAGAACTAAGTCCAAACTCCTGGTATCACGTTTTCGTTTAACTAAGGATTCTTTTATGGGGTAGGTACTATACTATACATTTTTACTTTAAGATTCCGGAGCATATATTAAGTTTACCATTACCTAAGTTTATAACTTACATTAAAAGTGTTTTAATTGAAAAGTCATATTACAAAATTGTAGACTATGTGTTAGATAAAGATGTATGGAAAGACGACTTGAGTCTAGATTCCACACAAATATGATTCAAAATGTATTCTATAGCATTTAAGTTTATTTGAAAAAAGCAATCCCTAGAGTTTCTTGCTTGTTCTTCTCAGGGAGGTCAGCGTATTGAACGAGCAGTAGCTTAAAAAATTACGCTTTCAAGTGTAAAATTTTACCTATGGAATAAATGATTATTTGACTTTGACTTAGAGACCCGTGCACAGCAGTGCTATGTATAAATGAGTAGACGAAGAATGAGTCATCTTTCACCATCATATTACGTGTACGCTGATTACCCGTTGGGGTAGGCAAATATTGTGACTAGGTACAGATATTCACGAACCTGACATACTTTTAAATGAAGACTCCCATACTTCAAGCAAAAGTATGTCCGGATCGTATTGTTAAATATTAGCACTCCTTGGTCTCTTAGTGCAAATCAATAAAACCGAGTAGGAAATACTGATTATTATTACTTATAATAACTAATTACTCAATCCTTGTAAACCTTAGCAAACTTGTAATCGATGTGTTGTAGCTCCTCTTTGTCTCTCTGCTTATAAAGGGCGTCCCAGCGTTTGTTGTTATGGTTCACCATTGCCTCACGTTCGACGTTCATAGCGGATTCGATTAAATTGAGCTGTTTATCGTAAGCTCTTTGCATTATTGTTATTTGCTTTTCTATTCTTTCAGACAGTTCTTTTATATCGTTATCCTAGAAAGGAAAATAATATGCACAAAATGAAAACCACTCAAGGCATAATTTATGATGAAAAATTTATGTCCATAACATGCCAAAAGCAACCTTTCGCAAACACCCCAAAATATTAATAAAAATAAGACCAACAGACACAGTCAAAGGTAGTCAAAATAAGAGATAGGGGGAAGCGGGGCAGTTTGACACAGGGGGCACATTCGTACACCTGCATTATATCCATACCTTCAAAGATAATATTAGTTGTGATAATACTAAAACGTGGTTTGTACATATGAGTAATAGACAGGCGATGATGCAGCTCACCATTTAGCCGTTTTCGTTCGACAGGTTACAAAGTGTTTACACAGCCGTTAACTAAAAAAATAAGCGACACAAATACGAGTGTCACTGCAGTTTTGTTCACTTTACAGGGTTTTATGTCTTAATACAGGGTGAACTAGTGTTTTCAATAACTAGAATTGCATGTGACTGAGAGAATAAATAATTTTTTTTTTTAATAAATATTCTTTTCTAAGCTGGCCGGTGGGGTACTTTTATACACTAGTGAGTGGGGCAGTTTGGTACGTATCAAAGTGCTAGGAATTAGTTATTTTGTACGAAAAATATAAAACAGTTTCAACAAGTCACTGTAAAGAGGTGAACTAGTGACATTTTGCGCTATAGTCAGCTTTTCCTCCTATATTTCTACTCCCAAGACTACATTACAAAGAACACTTTTCAAATGGTGCCCTGGAAAGAAGTCTTGATAGATCTAGTGCTGAGGCACATATAGCGTCATACTATATGAATAGTTGATCACCTAGTGCTGATAATACGTGGCAACCAGGAATGGCACACTACGTTGATTCACACATTCTAAATGCTCCAAGCGATGTAGCAAGGTACCCCACAGGTGGGGCAGAATTGGACAATTCCCATTTTTTGTTAAAATCGAAATTTTTCAATTATTCAATGCTACTTATGAAAGAAAAGATTGAATTAGTAATGTTTATTAGTTATATCATCAATTAGGTAGAAAAAATATTCATTATAATTTCATTTAGTAGCCCAAAATTAAAGTTAAAAAAAAGTACGAATCTGCCCCGCTTACCCCTACTGCAAAAACTGCCATGCTATCAAAATTATGAATTACGTGGTTAACGCTCACAAGTATTTTTTTTTAAAGAATAGCATTTGCAAGAATATTTGTTTGAAATTATGATTTATTTAGAATGGCAGTACCTACAGTACAACAAAATTTATTTTGTGCTATTATAACCATAAACAAAAAAGTGATTACAATGAAAAGGCGAGATTTCGTGTAATTAAATTTTAAAAATCATATTACAATTACGGTGACACCTAGGACATGGGGTCAACGGGTAAAAGCTAGCAAATTACCCCCCAAATCGCCAAAAAACTTTTGCCGGTCCATCTGCATAATAACAGCTGTTTATATGTATTAAGTTTAAACAATAATTATTACTTGTTTTTGCAAGTCCACATAATAATCGTCATCCATCCTCTTCAGGTCCCCTTTAAGTTTGGTAATGAGACTGTCTTTTATTTTCAATAGTCCGTCACATCTATTTTTCTGCTCTTTTATTGCAGCGTCTATATCTAGGGGATCTTGTATTTTTAGCATTGCCTCCCAGTTCTGTGTTATAGCTACATATTGGAGTTGGGTTTCAGCAGCATCGTCTTCTATTTTCTCTTGCGTAGCTGTTGTAAATTATTATAGTATGTAAAGAGCCGTTGAAAAAAACATATACAAATAGTTGAACTGTCGTTACCATGCTGATCTGCCACGCAGAGGTCCCGGGTTCGATTCCCGGGTGGAGAGAAATATTTGTAAGGTATAAATTTATTTCTCTCGTGAGTTTATATGTAATTTGTGGTTGTCTATGTGATTTGTGGTTGTCTATGTGTGTCCATGGCACCCGCGATACAGGGTTTCCCTAGTGTAAGTCATAGCCCTGCGTGCGTTAAAAAATGTTAACCAAAACATTATGAAATAATGTCAAAGCGCCGTAAATTTCTTCAAAAGGCAGACCCATTAAAGATTCTTTGACCAAAGAGAGCCCTGTGCCTCGCAAGTGAATAGGTACGTATGGCTTGTTAAAGTATAAGTGTATCACCTCATAGTAGATAACACCTATATTTTAAGAAATTTTTCAGTTTAAGATACATATGATAAAAAATTATCCAAAATGTAATCAAAATGATCAGAATATACGAAGAAGAAAAATACGGCAGAATCCTTCTTCTAACGTCAGTGTTATTGCCACAACTATCACAATAACGAAATGTTGGTTGGTGTTTATATTTTATATGTAAATCTGACGTATGTTAACGGTATCCGTACCAACGTTATCAAATCGTAATTATTTGACATGAGAGGCATACACAAGAAGATCCCCAGTAGATCACCCTCGTCGGAATCCGTACTGGCGATCACTGACGAGGTCGTCTTCAAGGTACGACAGGAGACAGTTCTTGTACGTGTACTCAACACGTTCCATAGTCTTGCAGAGTATGGAAGTGACTGAGATAGGTTGACAGGGTCAGCTATGCTTCCTTTTTTTGGCACAGTTGCACGGTTGCAAGCTTCCACGCCCTGGGAACTACACCAGTCTCAAGTGAGAGGAAAATTGTGAAAAAATAGAAGACAACTCAGACGCACAGTTACATAGGACTATTGCTGGAATTCCATCTGGCACGCTAGCTTTATTCGCGTCTAGATTCCGCAAAGTTCTAAGCACCTCTTTTTGGCGTATGGTCGCATACGCCAAAAAGCTCTTTTTGGCGTATGCGAACTGGCGTCATAGTGCAGCCAGCCTGAGGTAAGGTAGGTGGTAGGTTCCCTGCGGCATCCAGTCGCGAACTCTCTGCAAAGAGTGAGGCAAAAAGATTCACCTTGTCTACTGCAATATGGGCCAGCGTGCCATCCGGCTTCAGCAGAGGTGGTAAAGATGGGCGACAACAGTTAGTTTCGACCGCTTTGGCCAGGGACCAAGAGGAGTTGCTACCTGCTGGATAAGAGGCAAACTTGGTCCCTCTGCGGCGCACATGGTCGAACTTGGCCCTACGTAACACACTTTTGCACTTTTTGGCGGCCTTATTAAAAGCTTTCTTCAAATTCTGAGTACTCGGAGCTTTGCGCAGTCGAGCATCAGCCCAAGCTTGGTACGCGGATCGTTTTTGTGCTTCAGCACAGCTATAGTCAGCGTTAAACCATAGACGAGGTTGGGGTCCATTGGGTACATCAGAGTATGGTATGTAATACTCCATACCCAAACGCAAGACCTCAACTACAGTATCAGCACAGCTCGACGAGTCTCCTGAAGTAAAGCACGCCTGCAAGGAATATGACGCAAAGAAATGGCGCATTTCATCCCAATTTGCTAACCTGTATCGCCACACTCGTCTCGTACCACTAGGGCCCTGATCGGGTGGGGAGCATACGGATACAGTTTTCACCAGACAATGGTCGTGAAGTACCCAGACAAAGTACCCAGTGGGGCATCCACCACAGAGTATCGGTCTGGATCAGTTGTTAACAGAAGGTCCAAGCAATTAGCCGGATGGGACTCAACGCCCTGACGTTCCTGGTATGGGAGTGCTTAACGTTAAAATTATGGACATTTTTTATTTTTTTAAAGTTATTGTTGTCGTTTACGCACTAGGTAACGTTTTTCGATATCAGTTCAAAGGTTTATATATTTCTTACATTTATGTAATGATCGCCTGCGCACACTTATCGACTACCTACAGCCTGTATAATTTACCTAATATTATTATTAATTTGGCACAATCTTCAAATACTTCTTTCGTTTCCCTAATTAATTAGGGATAAGACTGACGTAAGCGTAAGTCCTTTTATACACACTCTGTATTGTGTATTTTGTAAGGAAACGTATATTTTAAAAATAAAATAACCTAACGCGGCCGCAGCGCAAACATGTCGCCGGATCACCTCCCTTTCATCAGTCGTAACTTTGACATTGGTGACTTTGGCGGCGCCCTCCAGCCCACTCCGCTGTAGATATTCTGCTGCTTCCACTGTCGCCTTCTCCGTGAGAGTCGCATCTTCTATCAGTGCTTGCGCAGCGTCTTCGGGTGGCAACTCCGCCCTGGTTACGCGATTAAATGAACAATATACCCTTGCGACTATACTAGTTTTATCGATTTCTTATATCAACATTTAAGAATACAAACATGACTGAAAGGTAAAAGATAAACTAAATCGAAACCTACTTCTTAAGCGCATCCTGCCTGCGTTTAATACGAAGGCTCCTAGCAGCCTTTCGTTCCTCGGGGTCTAGAGAAGAGACCTGGGGCTCCTTGGGTTTTAGTACATCGTCTTCCTCTTCCTCAATCCTGAACTTACCCGCCATTGTTTATATTTCTACTAATAACCAAATGATCTGTACGATTTGAACACCTTAAGAAAATATAACAATTAGAAAACACAGCGCCGATGACGCTGACGTGTAAAATGATAAATAAATATGCGGTTTGTCGTTATGGCAACAGAAAATACTGTTGTCAAAGAGGATTATTTGTCATAGTTTGTATTGTGTACGAGCAACACATAGTGCAAGATTTTATTTTACTGCATAGTACCAGTTGGTCCGACTAGTCCTTAGAGGATGGATAAAGTCTACGATTGGTCCAGGGCTGCCAGATTAAGAAATTTTTTCTCGTACCGCTGTTGTCAAATATCTTGTATGTTGACAAAAAAATCTCGTACGAGTTAATTAAATCGAATAAATAATATAAAGGAATAAAAAATAATCATCGTTTAATGATCGTTTATAAAAACATAAGTTTTTAGTAAAGTATATTATTATACGGATCCTTCAGTCATTCATCCCAAAGGTTTGCGTACGGTGTTGAGATATTGTACCACCTGCTTTCTTTGCAGTCCATCCTGCATCCTGCATCTCCTCTAAGAAAAATATCCAAAATGTATTTATCCACTCCTCTAAGAAAAATATCCAAAATGGATATTGATTGGATATTGGAGTGGATAAAGATTCACTGTCACTACACATTATGTAAATTAACTGTTAAATTATATTAAAATACTGCCTTCTGAAAATATATGAAAAACTAATAACCGGTTTAAACATTCATTGGTGCAATAAGAACAGCATGCCTCAAAACGGGGTTTCCCCCAAGAATGCGATGTAAGATTGAGTGCATGCAATTTAAAAAAAAACCTTTTTTTTAATTTTTTGGTTTGGACAAAATGTTACATTTACAATTAATATTCTGAAAATTTCGTACTAAATGCATACGAGGTCCGGAGTTGGCTCGTATCTCGTACGGAGAACACCAAACGTACGAGAAATCTCCTACGTCTGGAAACCCTGGACTGGTCTAGCCAGTGGGATTATTTTTGCCATTGTCTAGATTGATTTGACAGCTGGCGATAGTACGTTGTTTTTTTTCCATCCTCTAAGGTACGTTGTAACCATGCGGTATTGTCATTGACTTACAAATTGTATAAACTTCTTCACGATAAACTTACAATTTTACTTATATCGAGTTATGTTTTCGCGATTGTTACAGATAAGGAATGAAACTATTTTTCGGATCTAAATGGCGTTTTATTTATTTTTTCCGTTCAGCCGTGGCCATGACCTGTAAAGACCCTGAAACTGAATTGGGTTTGTTTGAAAAAACAAATATTCACAATTTAGGTCTGAAAAATAGTTATTGAATTATTTATGCTAATTAGAAGAATTAAAGTTATCATTGGGTGCCTGTGGTCCTGGAACGTTATTCTTATTCTTTTAGGTCAAAACTTTGCGATAGTATGTAGGATGAGGCTTTTTGTTTGTGTAGTTATTATTTATAGTTAAGTGTAGTACTCTACTCGAATCGGTAGTTATCGTATAGTAATAGTACCACAGGAAACGCTTTTTATCTTGAAGAAATGAAACAAAAAGTTATTTATAATATTGGTTTACTTAAGTTACTTTTTGCTGTTAAGGATGATACCATCGTATTTCTGTTGGAACCACTTCATAGCATCTTCCTTCGTCAGGCGGTGGGGGAACCCAACCTTGCCTGTCTTGCGTCTTCTATGCGCTACGTTGAAGCCTGAAAACAAAAATATTCGTTAAGCATATATTAACAACTATATACTGCTCTTATCGCTTATAGATCTCGCTAATTTACAGTGTAATGTGTTCACTCTTATTTATTCTGTCGCCATGCCTAACTGGTTGTAACAACTAGTAAGCCTCCCATTAAGGCTCAATTTACATCGCAAAGTACAAACTAGATACTATATGGTAATTGCAGTAATTCCCGAGAATGCGCGAGAATTCCTTGCAAAATGTGTGACCTGTAATTTGGCTCGTATCTTGTTTGTATGTTACACAATTGACATAAATATTCGCGTCTATTCCGTTCCGCGGCATTGTAAATTGAGCTTTAAAGATAAAAAAATCGCACATGAAACCAAATACTGTCGTAACAAAAAAAAGGTGGAATTGAGAAATCACGATTTTCCAACCAATAAATTTATATTCTCGTTTACAAGTGGATAAGTAATTATTATGTATAATTAAAGCAATCCCATTATTTGACATATCAATATCATAATCAATTCAAACACTTTTCAGTTACGACAGTATTTATTTTCGTGTGCGAAATATTGGTTGATGGTTATCCTTCAGACACTGGAGTGTGCAACTGTATTAATTTGTGTAATATTTAACCAGCAAGCATTTGTTGGAAGAATAGACCTAAGACGAAATATCAAAATTTTAGACATATTTATATTCACACATTATTATTATTCAGCTATAAAAGATTATATTGTACTCTATAACATGTGTCTCGTATGATTTGAGAATAACAGCAGTTCACTAAATTCCTTCTTAGTAAAGCTTTATTCTAGCACATGAATTACAGAGCAGAACGTTAAATTAAATTACACTCTTGAACAAATTGCTGCATTTTCAATAATTTTTATACTGTAATGTTTACATATTGCACTGCTATTACAAGAGTTGTAACTCAAAATATGTGAAATAGTCAAGATCATACCATTGCTGAACGTAATATTCGATTCTCTACACGTCAATAAAACCTTCGTCAAAATAATGTCAGAAACAATTAAAATAAATCTACTTAACTCAAAATGAGACAAATTTTTTGCGAACTAGTTCTGGATAAAACAGTCTTAATAAATAAGTTTCTAAAAAAATTAAATTATTTTTTCCTTTTATTTGGCAAGTAGAAAATACATTTTAATAATATTTCGCTGGAAGTGAGTAATTCGTTTTTCAGCGATTCTGTAAAAATACATTTTTTGAGTTTGAGTACACTATTGTATTAACAGTGCGATATATGACTGTAACTGAATGCAGTTAACAGTATTAGCAACCATTATGCCAGCCGTGATAAAAAAAAATTTTGTGTAGATTGCACTATGTCCTGCATTCTAATTTGTTAATTAGCAGCACTAAATTGCACCACTAAATCTATTTATATGCAAGGTGTTCAGTTAATTGCGTTATAATCAACGTGATTCCACTCAATAATACAACTGTGAAGACCCTGCTGCAAAAGATCATGCATTCATACCCACTCGAGCAAAATATGTGGAACTTGTTCAAGTGTTGAGCATTGGAATAAAAAAACTCATATGCCAGCCACATTTTGACTCGTTCTCCTTTTTTTTCCAACCCATAGTTTTTGCATGTTTCTATGAATAATTTGTACAACCTGAACAGCAACCGCTAAAACCTCCCTTCAAAATACGTTTCAAATGCACGGATCTTAACAATGCGACAAATCCATTGAATGAAATCCATTGAAATCCATTGAAATTTAACAATCTATCGATTTTTGTTCCCAAGCTCCTCAACGATCTGTACATAAATATAATGCCGCCATTAGTTGAAAAGGAGTATGTGACATTTTTTCAAAAAAATTGTTAAGTATACTGCCGTGATCAGTAAAAAAGGGCTGATCTGTCACTATTTTAATTTTTACATATCGTAAATATGCAATAGTGTATTAACTCAACATGTATATTTTTTCAAAATCGCTGAAGAACTGTAAAATATTATTAAAATTTATGTACATAAATACTAATTAAATTCTTACTTTTTGTTGAAAAATAATAGGGAAAAAATAATTTCATATTTTTAAGTAAAGACTGTTCACAAAAAGTTTGTCTCATTTTGATTTAATTAGATATCTCTCGTTTGTTTTTCGCGATATTTAACAGATGGCTATATTGATGTATAGAGATTAAAATTTTACATTCAACAACAGTATAATCTTGAATGTCACATATTTTGAGTTACAACACTTGCAATAGCAGTGCGATATATGGATAAGGTATGAAGTTACTGCAAAAGAAATGTAGATATTTTTAATTTAATTTCTTTAAACATTATTTTCTCGGTTTCGAGTTCGCGGTAGTATATTAACTTACAGAAACGAGGAAATAAAGACAAAAGTAATTAAAACATCTAACCTGGTCGCCCCAGAACAACGTAGAAGTCAAGACCGTAGATACCAATTGAAGGGTCATACTTGATACCCAAATCAATGTGCTCCTGGATACCGAAACCGAAGTTGCCGGTGGCGGAGAAGTTGTCACGCCTCAACTCATATTCTCGCACCTGAAAGCAAAGTACAGAAGCGATTACAAAATGAAGATCTATAGGGCTAGCACAACAGAGCACGACATGTGCGAGAGCGACATAGAGCGCGCGATTTCTATGCGTAAAGGCTGGTTTTATAGTCACGCGGCTAGACGCGCCGTTGGGTAGCGCGCTGTTGGACAGCGCGCGTTTGAACAGCGGTGCACTATAAAACGACATTAGTACGGCGCGTTTAGCTGCTGTGAGACAGTCGTGTACAAAATGAACGGCAATGCGGTTAGAGTACTGGCTATTTACTTTTTATGGAAAAAAAGGCAACAACAACGTCGAAGAACAGTAGGTGTTGATCCTTATAACGCTACAAGGTTACTGAGAGGCGAACACGTAACATCTTTCTAACGTAACGTAACGTAACGTAACGTAAAATCATCGGCCGGGTCCCATAAACATCTTCTAATTCGCACTTCGTCAATTACTCGTCCCGTATCGATGTAATTCATTTTGTACACAACAGAACCTAACGGCGCGTCTCAACGGCGTCAGACTAAAACGCACAATGGCCGTAGAAGCGCACGAGCGGCGCGCGGTTCGACCGCGCCGCGCGAATAGGACGCGTTCAACGAACGGCGCTGCCCAACCGCGCGAGTTTGAAACGCTACTAACTACCCCCATATATCCGAACGCGCGCGCTCCGACGGCGCTGCCGAAACGCGTGACTATAAAACCTCCCAAATAGGCGCGTCGCGCTGTCATGCCAGCCCTACCAGTAACAACAAAATAAACTAAACGGGAATTTGTATGGTTATTAAAACAATTTTAACTTTTTATTAAAAAAGACACCAACCTCCAAAGTTTGCTTATCAGCTTTTTTATTGGAATTACACCTATTTGCCAAGTTTTATTGCAGACGTTTAAAGAAAAGTGCGCGATGCCGGAATCAACCCCTACTTAGCCACTCATAGGCTGCCTTTCCACTGGAGATGTGCGAGTCAGCGAGGTGGTGGGAGAACGTGTAGAAGCTGTGAAACAGTGTGATGTTTTCCACCAAAGCTGTGCGAGGTAGCTAGGCGGTGATAGGATGTGGCGCGGTGCTTTATGTGGGGTACGGTGTGGTGGGGTGAGCAGTGTCAGTTAGTGTCATACTTTCAGTAGCACCATACTTTCAGTAGCTCCAGTTTCCTACACTGTTTTGCACACATTCCTCGCCCATATCCATCGCACAACTGCCTCCGTAGCCGAACGGTTACCATACCGGACGGCCACGCAGAGGTCCCCGGGTTCGATTCCCGGGCCGGGAGAAATATTTGTATGGCCTGCATTTATTTCTCTCGTGAGTTTGGGTGTAATTTGTGGTTGTCTATGTGTGTGTCCATGGCACCCGCGACACAGGGTTTCCCTAGTGCGGGGCAAAAAAAAAACATATCTCGCTATTTTGTATGTACGAATACTTAGCTCCGCTAACCCTTTTCCACTGGAGCTGTGCTAAGTGAGGCTCGGAAAGTGAAGTAATCCTATTGGTGGATGTTTTCCTTTCGCACACCACCTCACTACATAGCACATCTCTGGTGGAAAGACCTTAGAGGTGAAATATTTTCTTCAAATTTAAATGGGACAAAAAAAAGAATCATCAAAATCGGTTTCAAAATGCAACACACACAAAAAAATGCTGTCAAATTGAGAATGTCCCTCTTTTTTGAAGTCCGTTAATAAGACTGTTCTCTTCTAGACTTTAGTAGATGACAGGCCAGGCCAAGTAAAGAAACACAACTCAACTTTGACACATACCTGACATTCAAATAAAATGTAAAATTTTATCCATTTCCAAATTCTATGGCTGTATTCCTGAAGTTCACAAATATGTATTAGGGGAGCTACAGTATTAGTAGTATTCAGAGGAGCTACAGCCACTCCATTACTGATTTTCATACTACACTTAGAAGTGCAGTTGTAACGCCACTGTCGTGACATGTGCAGGCTACTTCTGCAGTCACAATAAGAGAACTAAAAATTATTGAAGCATTACAGACGTGCAATTGCAGAGCCACTGCAGCGCTTCTAAGCATTTTATTCAACCATTGCATATTATGTAACCAAAAATCATAGTGTGTATGTGGTTTACAAGGCTGCCACAAGCAGAACTCGCGGAGTTCACAGTGAGCCATCTGATTGAAGACTGCATGCATATACACTAGAACCTTATTACGTATCTGTCACATTACAGTAACAGCACATTAATGAGTACCCAGCTTTAGGGAGACATACCAATAGCCTACTATTGAAATTATTCATGTCTCATCAAAGTAAATATTAAAATCCATCTACATTGCTCAGCTTCTGAAATATGCAATATATGGCTTGAATATGTAGTGTGTGTTGTTAAGCCAAATACTGTAATGCTTGCTTGTTTCTTGCAAATATAAAAAGTGTACAATAAACACAATTTTAGAATAAGAATTGTAAAGATTTCAAAATTTTCATAATACTAACTTTCAAACCCCTCTCAAGGATTTCCTCAGCCTTGGCACCACGAACAGTGCAGTGGACAGCAATCTTTTCATTACGGCGAATACCAAATGATCGCACAGTGTAACGGGCCTTAGAAAACACTGGCTGCTGGCCAGTAAGCTGTTCTAACACCTGAAATTCAGAACACAAGCATTTTATAATTTAAAAAAAAAGTACACAATTTTTCACTTCCATATGTGCAGAAATGCCTATAGTATCATAGTAATTTCTTATGAGTCAAAAATCTAATCTAAAGAAAGTACTTTTATATTTTACAGATTTCATTAGATCCAAAATGCACATATAGAAATACAACTAAACTGCATTGTTTACATCACTTGAACTATATTGGCTTGTTTAAGTATCCCAGTAAATAAGAATTTTCTGCAATAAACATGACAAATATATTCACGAAAATTATATTTGTCATTTCTTCGAGTATTCTGGGTAGTAAGATAATAGTACTCAGAAGTTGCAAATCAGAAATAATATTCTTGCATGAAATTACAAAGATACACCTATCAGAAGTGAATCCTGAACAAGATCATGCTAACATGTTACTTTACAAAATTTTTAGAATAGCATTTTTTTTTAATTTAAAATATCTAGCATAATTTTTATTTATAATGTAATACAGTAAATACTGCTATGGGTCGCACTTTAACCACTTATTGGTTATGTTCAATGCCTTAACGTTATTATTATTTCCTTAAATGGTCTATCGATGAATGCTTTTTAGACAATGACCTGTCATAAACACAAACCTTAGCAGCACGTGTCAGCCTATCACCAGATTCACCAACACAAATGTTCAGGCAGAGTTTCCTGATGTGCAGGTTTCTCATAACATTTTTAGCATTATCCTTGGGCGCCTTTTTCCCTTTCTCGATGACGGTTTTTGGTACTCGCTGAAAAACACATTCTCTTGTTATTGCCACAGTTATCACCGAATAAACCAAATTCGGTGTATTCTAACCCCAAGTTAGCTGATAAGGTTAGCCGAATTTACAGCCATGCAAACACATTTTATAATTAAAATATAGCATTTGATAGGGCCACTATACTAAGCAAAATAACGTTCACATATTACAGATTTACTTTACCAAGAAATTTCACAGATTAACTTGGATTTTAATTCGGGATAAACACAAAACACCTACCGTCATTGTTAGCGAATTTCGAAAAGAATTTAAGGCACCATAGACAACATCAATTAAACGTCAAATTTGACAGTACTCCAGTGTTGCTATTTTTGTTCTAATTTCCATAAGTATATATTATTTATTGTAATCGGTATTGTGAATCGATTCATAATATCAAATATGTTTTTAATGCGACATAAAAAAAATAACCGTTCCATTTTGAAATAATGTGCTTTATTAACGCAATTAAATCAGTTCTTTTTAAATTTATGAATTAATTACATGAACATGTTTTTATACTGTTCAAGATTAGATTTTTAAATTAAATATTAAACAAAAATCGATTGAACTTTATAATATATATAAGTATAAGTGATAGCTAAAGATCCCTTTCATTGGAATTCTTTAAAACGACTCTAACAAAATGTTACAAGGAGAAAATGCTATTTGACTTTTAGTGCAACTTAAAAGACACGTGTTCCTTGCAATATAGTAATAAACATTGTATCTCGTAAAAACGGGCTTTATGACAACAATTCTATTTATTAGTAACGTTATACTGATTACTGAATTATTGTTAACTATATAAAAAGCAGTTTATTAGTGTACATTGTTTAATTAAAGTAATTTAAACAGTACATGCATATTTACTTAATAATACATACATATAACCGTTAATATTACCTTCGCTGTATTGTGTTAAAAAGTAAAACATGGATAAAAATAAGTTAAATGCAACCAAAAAGTTTCAAAGATATTATTGTACCTTGTGTGACGTATATACAAATTCGGATAACCAATTGAACGAGCATTTAAAAGGAATCAGACATCATATAAACAAAAGGAGGTCAACTTATAAGCATGATAATAAATCGGAAATGGATTACGAGCCTTTAATTTACATTCCTATGTTCATTATGCTATCTATAACAACATATGTTTACTGTTATGTAATAGTTAATTTCTGCAACTGAAGGCTTGCCACTATGAATAATAATAATATATGTTGATAGCTATTACGATCAATTTAACGACGCCTTAAATTTCGCGCCATAATTTTAATTGGCGGAGACGTCGTTCCCAAGCGTTCACGGCTTCTATGCGCACGAACGAACGCGCAGAACAATGAGGTAGCAGCCATTTTATGTCGGTGTCTAAGAAAAACATAATTCGAATGGCCAATCTTTATGAAATTGTGTAATTAGTGCCGTAATTTATGTGTTTCCGCACACGCTTCTATAAATAGGTGTTCCTTTACTTATGTGAGTAGAATCCAAGTTTTGCTATATATAAGTAACGATAGATTAGCATAGCGCAATGAAACTTGCATAAAAAAGGAATAATAATAAATTTATATCTTCATTCCCTCCATATTTAATGAAAGGTCGTCGTATTACCAATAGGGATGACTCTTTTATTTCTTAGTCATGTTTATGTTTACCAGATGTTGTTTAATGTTCTTTATCTGCAAATAACACAAAGTGCATTTTGTCCATTTAGTGAGGATATGACATAACTTACACTAATTACTAAAGAATAAAACGCTAAAAACTTGTATTGTTTACATTGGAGCAGTAGCGGTCATTAAATTACTTTTCGAGTCACTACCGGCGTCGCGCAACCTCGATTTGAAAGTTGGGGACAAAATTCAATAACGAATTGGCCATTTTATTGATGGCTGGGGGGGAGGCTGGGTGGAGACAATCGGTCGGTGAGCTTCCGCCATTTAATATTTTGTTAAGGTTCTTACTTATTTCTGAAAAATTTCAATTACTTTTTAGTTTACTAGCTAATCGTTGATATAATATGTTTATAACTCACATATCTATCTGCGCACAAATATGTGCGAGATAAGCGTTCGTATACTTATGTGTATATACAAACATAGATAGCTTTCTGCAAAATATAATAGGGGCCTTGTATCAGGTACTTACTTTGCTTTATTGTCAAAATTGTATTTGGAAACACTTCAATCAACAAAGGTTGAAACATAATATTAAAGTAGTGTAGATTTTTAAATGTAATCAATGTGTAGAATTATTTGCTTAATGTTGTATTTAACATCTTTCATTCTTTGTGTTTATTTCAATTTTCTTTTAGGTACTTGTTTTATTGCACTGTAGATTAACAATTTGTTTTTTTTTTAATTAAATCATTTAATGCACGCAAACAGGCTTTTTATTTTATTCACACCAATTTCATTCTTATCCTGCTTTGAACTATTAAACACAAACATCATAAATTGTAAAGGGCTTAACCTTAGTTATGGTATCTCCATATCTTTCAGAATTACCACGCTTTCGTAATAGCATTTTCTGTAATATTATTGACCAAGGCGGTTGTTGCAAAGTTTACCCATTACTATATTCCAAATTGTTTTTGAATATCAATCAATATCTATAAGCTGTAAACTATACAGAAGATGTTATTATTATTCATGAAAGTTTATACTTAATCATTAACTAATCATAAATTATGGACGCTGATCAAATCTTGATTAGCATTACATACAGCTATAGGTACCCATTCAATTTACATAATTTTATTATTGTGGCTTATATCGATTATGTTACTGGTAAGTAATTTTGATAGCAGCATTTAATTATTTTTTTGCCAGTTACATTTATTGCTTTAAAATATTCGTGACGAAATATAATTGCATTATTTATTACACACAGTAATTAGTAGTCAATCTAGTCTGGTTTCCGAGTACCTACTTTTGGTTTATAAAATATGTATTCGCAAAATACAGAAATTAATATAAAAATTGTCTACTGTAATTTTTGCGCACTGTCACTGAACCCTAATATATCAATCTGTAAATCTTGTTGTTAATTAAATACAAATCATCGTCGACGGAGAGAAGAGTGCGGAAATCTTTGTGCAAGCTCTGAATCCAGTTTATTTCAATTGTACAAGACTAACAAATCTTTGGAGAATCTGTAGAGGACTAATAAAGGCTTTTGTTATACAAAAATTACAACTTGAAGTTAAAAGTGAGAATATTATGTAAGTCGTTACAGTTTGAGAATGACTGACAATCCTGTTTAACATTCATACCGGAAGCGTGCAAAATAATTCCCAAAAAGAAATGCCGACGACGACGAATGAGAGTGAATGAAAACAAAACAATCTGTCATTTTTTCTGCCTGCACGTCAAAACAAAAATTAAAGCGTGCACGTAATACTGCTTTAAAAATAATTAATGTTTAATTTATGTGTGTTACATACATGGGGTCTATAGCCAATGCTCAATAAATATTTATGCTATCGATTCCGAAGCTGATAGAACAAAGCAAATTTAACGTGCAGTCTAGATCACGCAGTGATGGAAAAATGCGAGAAATGAAATTTTCCAAGTACACCACTTTATAGAATACAACTTTATTTGTAGCACTAGCATCTCTTGCTCTTCCAAGTGTTTTAATATCACCAGCAATGGTTAATATAGTGTTGGTTGCTGAGCTTACATTATTATTCGTAAGAAATATTCATTCCCATTACAGATCTACAATACGTGTATAATAATTTAAATAACGATGCATAATTGTGTACACTTTGTAAAAAAAACACTGCGTCAATTTGCAGGTAGAGGATTCTTTTCAAGTAACATTCAAATGGATCTCATTTTCACTCAAGTGAAATGTTACTCTTTAATACTGTTCATTCTCGGTTTGCCTTGTTCTTCTCAAAGATGTACTGAACTCTGATGACAGAATCAGTATTGAGTCACTGAGGAAAAGGTTGGGCAACCTTCAACATTGGAAGTATAGCAAGTGATTGTGTATCAAGAACTTATTTCAAATTTAGATTGACAGACACAACTTGATACCTAAAACCAATTTATGAGTTGTTTGAGTCATTTTGTAATTATGAATTCATTTCACCCATAAAACAATAATTTGTTTATTTAAATTTTAACAGCCAAAGAAGTAGTTACTTTGACTTGGGCACTTTAATTTTAAATGCAGAATCATTGTTTATTATAGTAGTCAAACCTTTGGGCAGTTGTCATAAAAGTTTTAATGAAGCTGTTCTATAGTTGCTTTTCCTCAATAAGGTTGCCTTAGACAAATTTATGTTATTCACTTATTACACATTTTTAGAAGATTAAGTTATAAAAATATAATCAGAAAATGCAAGTGATATAATTATCGAAAAGTTGGAGGCAAAGAAATTAAATTTCTTATTAGATTCAAATGTGAACTGACTATGGTGAAGTCATTTGGAATAGTAAGGACTTAGCAGTATATTTCCCCAAATGCTATAATTTGGGCCTTTTTAATGCATCATTTTGGTGTGCATGCTACATTGTTGACCTCATCAACACTTTCCATCAAGCGAGATGAAGGTCAAATGTACACAATCTTTTTTGTATAAAAAATATGTGTGGTGCTAACTAATTAGGTATGAATACTTTTAGAGTCAATTACTTACCTAAGTCATGTGAACATGACTTGAACAACTTTGAAATGAGATAATTATCTATAAGTCTATGTTAGTTTTTTGAGAAATTTATGAAACAATTATAAAACTCAGCCTGTTAAAAGCTAAGCTATTCTAGAATTTGACACCTCTTCAATATTATCTTTTTAAACCAGTTAACCATCACTGACCTCTTCTTTATTGAAATGAAAAGGGATGTCATTATCACACTATTCATTTCTTTCCAAATGCACAGGATATTTAGTTTGGACAGAATTACAAGTGTTTTTTTTGGACTATAAAGTAAAATTTAAAATTGATCCTTCTGATGGCAATCTGTCAACTTAAAATTGTCCTGTTAAGAACAAAGAACTGAAGGGGTGTAGCATTTTCGGTATTTTATTTAAAACGTTTTCTTGAATTTTAATTGTTTTAAAAATAGAAGTTTCGGACAAAAGCACATTGTTTTATTTTGAGCAGTCCAGGTTCCTTTGGTGGGGTTTAATTGATGTTAGCTGTATATTTACTGAGAGTTTCATAGGTATAAATTTACTTTAGTTCCTTTGTTTAGTTAAACCACAACTGTTTAAAAAGTACCTACACAATAAAAAACATACAAATGTTTGTCTTTTGACGTGACACTTCACAGTTAGTGTTGTTGTTACAGTAAAATGGGGACATAACGTGAAAAAAACTAATTCTAGAATGGAAGAGACAACAAATTGTTAAATAATGAAATCAAGGTCGAATCTTGATTTCAAAGTTTGTCAATATACAAATCAAATTTAAAAATTCTAAATATACATCAACTTACTGTGATAAGCGATAATTATTTAGAAAATACTAATGAATGTAATTTCTTGTTTGCACAGGAGGCAGAATTAAGTATGGGGGGGCAGAACAGAAATCGCCATTAGCTTCCCAGCGCACTGGGGCGTTGGCGTCGGGGGTGTGGCACGGGGCGTGGGGGTCCCCGTGCCGCCCCCCGGCGACCTACTCGCCACCATCTCCATGTTCGAGCAGCAGATCAAGGCTGAGCCTATGAGGTAACTTTTATTACAGATCACTAGATTGATGTATGATCTCTGATCAATGACGAATTATATGCATAAAACCTGAATAAAGTAGTAGGAATGTATTTTTTTTCACCATTTTTCCCTATTTAATGCTACTTCACTAGCATCTCTTCCTAATTCTTAACTATTCTGTTTGCAGTTCCTTAAGTATAACCCATGCACAGAGATCATTCCTAGTTCCTTGTAATTTGTATTCTAAGCCTAAGTCTATTATTTGTTGCAGCTTCTACACCCCCCACCCACATTTACACGCCGGCCCCCCCTCGATCGTCCGGTCGGACTCCACACATGGTATCATAAATATGCAGCAACACCACCAGGAGGACTCAAAGGACAGCCTCATAATTCAGCAACAAGTGCACCAGCAGGAGCTGCTGGACCATCAGCAGCAACAGGAATTACAACAACAAGATGATGAGGTAACCTTGATGGTCTGTCTGTTTTATATTATTTTTATTGTGTCAATCCATCAAATAAAAATAAGAAAACCGCGTTAAGGTCAGAGATTAGTGTAGGACCCCCTCACAAGATCTGCGGAATTTATTAGCAGCTACTATATGGGAATAATCATAGACAGTAATATGATATATCTTGGGTGAGACCTATGTCTAGTAGTGGACAATAATGTGTTACTGATGATGATCTCATACTGATGATTCCGAATTGGTTGCTCGAAGAGAGAATCGAGGGAGAAAGTCGTAATTATTATTATTTATGACATTTAAAATAATTATTGTAGTGGTAAATGTGTACAAGTGTCTATGAAAACCAATGCCTGGAGTTTCAACTCGTTCTTCTCAGGGGAATCTGCCTCACGAGTGAGAATCAATGTGATGATTTCAAGTGTATATACATATACAAGCGTACCTATGGAAAAAAGATTTAATATTGTAATATATAGATACTGTCAAATCTATCCACTCTCTATGAAGAGAAAGAATATCATATACTTTTATTTATTACGTAGCTTCTCAATTCAGCTTAAAATAATTTTTATTTTCAAGATAAGCAAATTAATTTCTAAGAAGTTATCTGATCTATTGAACATAATACAACAGTAGGAACTTTATTTTTTAAATTAGGTTTATTGTATTGCATTTAACAGCACAAATGGCAATGTATTATGTACCTCAAATATTCCTATCTTTGTTGAACAGTTGAGCTTTAAAGGAATGGAAGATGAGGGTGTTGAGATGGACATGGACGGCCGACAGTGTTCACAAGTAAGTTTATTTATTTAAATTCGTACAAAAATGACATTGGAATCCATCTTTCATGAAAATTAAATAATGCTGGTCATATTTAATCAAGCAATCGTTTTGTATTAAACACTTCCTAAATGCTTAAATGGTGAAAAAAAGATTAACCACTCTCTTCTGCGGAATAACGGCTTTTCCGAAGCGGTTTATGTAATTGTTCATATGTTCATCAAAAAAAGTTTACAATCTATAGAAGATCTTCCAGTTTGTTGATAAATTTTGAAGACAGTTATTTGTCTCCCGTCTCTTAGAACTGGTTTTCTCCAGAAATGCGGTCGTCAGCTGTAACCAGTTCCAACTGTTGTCCTTTTCTGCGTTTTGATATTACCTGACGATGATCATGTTCCTTTTTTAATGTGTGTGCACAACCAATTTGACTCTGAAGTATTTGTCTGGCACTTATTGAACCACGAGGTTCAATACGCTGAAGAATGAGAGTGTTTCGAGAGGCACTCGTATAACATTTAAAATAGTCTGTATTTCATATTGAAAGGATCGCCTTTCAATATGAAATAATCTATGAAGTAATCTTACTAGCTACATTACCCAGGTTAAAGGTTATTCTTTTCCTGTAACTTATCGTGAAAATTACATAAGCACTTTAGTAAGCACTGACAAGTTAAAAATGAACTCTTGTCATTTCACGGGATTTTAAAAGAACTAATCGTCTATTGGCGAAACAAACGCTGATATCAAAAGCTATTACTAGCGCAACTGTTGTAAATGAAATTGAAATATTTATTTGCCATGAATAGGTAACAATTCGTTCAGTGTAACACAGAATGAGCTCTGTTCAGTTAAATCTATAAAAAGAATAGCATGTAGAAGTGAAAATGGAACTAGAAATTCATATAGCAGAGTCTATTTTGTCACTCAAGTTATTTCACTCGAGTGAAATCCTTACAAGTGCGATATTTATCGAAAAAATGTTCTACGTGCTTTTGGAACGAAACCCTCAAAACGCTTATTCTCATCTTGCTGGTCCTGTAAATATTAATCTCGCAAACCCAATATTTATCGAAAAATGTTTTATGTATTTTTTGGAAAATATACCTCGTGACGCCCTTTCTGATCTTGGTCCTACTGTAAAGAAGATCTTTGTAAGTCCAATATTTATTGCATTTTTATACAATTTAGGAACTGAACCTCGGAACGGTTATTCTGATCTAGCTTTTCAGGTAAAAACGAACCTCGTTAAGGCCAATATTCATTGAAAAATGTTTTATAACTTGTTCGGAAACAAAATCTCGGAACGCCTATTCTGATCTGTACAAATGAAGTACCTACGTCAAATGTTTATTGAAAAATGTTTCGTATCTTTTTGGCAACAAACTATCCGCCCATCCTGATCTTGATCTGCCTAAAAAAATGGGTTTCTTTAACATACATAACATGCATAATTTTCACTCTCAAGCTACATTATTTAACTTGTCAGCCTACATAATGACTGACTCCATTAAAACAGAGCTATTTTTACCAGGGTATGGGTGTGGATATGGGATCAGTTCAGACTAAAATGGAGGTTCCGAATGGTGGTCAGTCGACGCCGCGATCTAAGCCACAAGCCTGTAAGGTATGTACTTAACAGTTTCCGTATACATATTATGTTATTTATATACAGACTATAACAAAAACATCCAACCAGTGTGGACGCCACAGATTTGCTGACCTCGCAAAAAAAACTAATTAGGATAATAGCAAATATACAACCAACAGACACCTGTAAACCTGTCTTCCAGAGTCTCAAAATTTTAACTTTGCCTTGCATTTACATATACGAAATTTGTAAATTCGTAAAGAAACACCCAGAATTGTTTACTAAGCGGAAAGATATATCTTGTGGATTCACATTTCGACATAATAACAGGCTCATGTTAACTACCTCGCGATTGACTTTACATTCAAATAGTCCCCTAGTGATGTCAGTAAAAATATTTAATAAATTGCCCAATTCTTTCAAGGATGAAACAAATGAAAAATGTTTTATGACGAAAGTAAAAAAATTATTGATAGAAAAATGTTATTATTCTGTACAAGAATATTTTAACGACAAATTTTCGGCCTAAAACTACAAAAATAAATCATAAAAAATAAAAATTATAAATGTATTCAACTTTTTTTTATATTAACAGACAAAATTTAATTTAATTATATTCTACTGAATTTAGTGAAACATCAAACTCTACTTTTATTTTTATTTTAACATATAAGATTAATAAATTCTGAAGGGTAAAGCCTCCCCTCTCCAATTAAAATTAAAATTTGCTGTGCCCTTCAGGGTCCATAATGAACTGTAACCTAGATTTAAGTTTTTCCATCCTAATACTGTATTATGGTTGATGCAAATAAAGAATAAAGAATAAAGAACCATGCTACACCACCCTATACGAAATGTATGCGGTCAATTGGACGATTGTACAAGTATTATTATTTTTTAATGAGACTTACTACTTATCATTGCACGGTGATTCACGCTCCATACTAAGGCGGTCATAAATACGTAACTCCGAAATTATTATTATTTTTTTATTTTATTACGTTAAAATATGATTAGGTAAACGTAAATTAATAAAATTATACATTTTAAAAAATATTTGACAATATTTAGGTGTAAAAATGTCTCGCAGTAATTTTGTTTTTAGACGATGTATCTAAAACATTTTATACTGCGACTTTTAATGGTAAAACTGTGTAAATAACGATTATTTGTATTAACAATAACCACAAATGAATAAATTAAAACAATAAAAATACATAAAAAAGTTCATTTTACAAAATACAAACAAAACACAAATTATACCAAAATACATTAAATCTCAACAATATTAACTTTAAATACATAACAAGTCTAATACAGCTTTTGACAGTACACCTTTTTTTTTAACAGGTAACTTTCGTAGACCTGTTATGAAGGGATCTGAATGAAGAAGCAGCCTATTTACTAAATCTGTGTTGGTCACAATGCGACTCATTTTACGCGTATGATTTTTTCTAAAAGACTTGATGTATTTGTTAGTCGCTTCAGCTGCTTCTTCAGACAACTCTCCGATTGACAACAAACCGTAATCTATAACATTAGCACCATGAATTAGAACTTTGTGAACGGAAGCAGGCATGTTATACCACGGATACTCGGCAACTAACTGCCGAGCCGTCTCTAAAGCGAACTCTTCGAAGTTCGTCTTATTAATATTATATCCCGAATTTAAACATTGAAGGATGATCCAGCAACGATCTAGGAGATCCTTCTTGATCCCAGTAATTTCAGCGGAAATTTCTGAATTCGAGAAAAACCGCCTGGCTGTATTACCATCGTTTGATGTTCCGCTTCCGCCACTTTTAGGCTTATCCACTATAAGCCCTAATCTTTCTCTAAATTGAGTCTGAACATATGATTTTTTTGCAGCAACAAGCATTTTGTCATTAGCGGACCTAGCTTGCCATTTCCTAACATCTAACTTGTACGCGACATGAACAAAATATTCAAAAAAACGTATTAACGCGTGAAGAGGTGATAAACCAAATTCATATTTACTCTCATCGACTTCCTTATTTAAACATTCGTCAATTTTGTTCATTTCACTGGGCAAGGCGTTACAAATAAAACATTTTGATGAAGAAACACCACTAAGTGCATTACACACTTTACCATCTACCATAGTAAGTTGCAAACAATGAGTAATGCGATATTCGCGATCTTCTTCCTTGAAAACAGTAGGCTGCAAGTTCCTTATTTTATCTTTAAAATGAGCTTCTTCCTCAACTGACACTGCAGTCGATTCCTTCAAATATCGGAGGCGTATAGGACGACAGTATCGAGTTGATGAAGGACGAGGATTTTTCCACAAAACTACTGAATTTTCTTTGTTATCTGTTGTCAAAACAAGCTGAAGTGGCACATACGAAGTAACAAACAGGCTACTGTCTTCAAGAGTGGAGTCAGAAAAACACTGTTATCCTTCAGATATTACTGTTACAGAATCATCCGCCGAAGTCGAACTTCAAAGTTTATTAGATCATACTGCCAATCGGATTCTCAAGTCTCAAAAAGATGTTTTGGATAGTGTACCTAATGAGTCTCTAGATAAGATATCTTTGATAGGGAAATGGGGTTTCGATGGCAGTACAGGGCATTCAGAATATAAACAGTGTTTTTTAGATTCCACGACACTTTGGTAAGATGGGAAAATGGTTTTTGAAAACTTATTGTCTATAAATTTCTTTACTAATATATATTGATGTCGAGTTAACTGAGCTTCAACAATGAGCGATAAAACTTCGCTAGAATCGATTTCAGGACAAGACAAGCTATCGGACGCATTGAGCAATGACTGTACAAGAGAAGGGTCTTGGTTAGACAAACTAGCCAATCTTCTCCTTTTTGTACGTTTACTGGTGTCGTCAAAGTTAATTCTCGGACGGCCATGCGATGAAGAAGTTGATGGTTTAACTTCGTCAAAGCTCTGAGATACACGTAACTCAGTTCGCTGTACATCACCCCCACTGTACATCTGACCCCACCAATTTCAGACCTATATCA